GAGGGCGGCGCTCGGACCATCTACGCTCAAGTTCTGGATGCGTCAACCGGCAAGGCTGTCAGCAGCAAGGTGACGGTGGACAAGTCTGTGGTTGGAAATCGTTACCAGGCTTTGAAGAGTTTTCCGGACGGTAGTGTGGCGTATTTGTCGAAGAGCACGACGGATACGACGATACAGGTGGTGCGATTCTTCGGCTGCTAAGATATGGTACGTCTTATTGTATGTAGTTGGTTTGTTTTTCAAGTAGTGTCAGTCCTTTTCAATCATAGTTGTCTGGTAGCGTTTTAGCTGTAAAGCTTCAGTTATTCGGGGCGGTACATGAATTTGAATGTTCAGTACTGTAAAGCGGTGTGCATCGACACCATCGTGACCAGCTTCCAACGCTGACCATTGATCAGCGACATCATCGTAACCTCTCACCGCTACTGTAATATGTAACAGAGCGCTCTAACTACTACAGTAGTATTTCTTTTTTTTTTTGACAAGGATAGAGTGCTACTGATTCTTTGATCCCGAATAAAGCGATCTATTTAACGGTGGAGGTAATCTCGAAGCATTCGCGGTGCTGTTACGTCGAGCGAAGCTGCAACAACTTAGTCAAGTTTCTAGGAAACAATTCAAAACTAACGAAATCTCAAACTTGACGTTGTTCAACAAGGTTTGTAGAACAAAAACAACAAATTATAGATGCAGTATTTCAATTTGACTTCATACTCAATACAGGTAGTGGTACACGTAAAATAATAACTTAGATAACGTCACCCACGGTGGTGTTCTACATGCATGTATCGGATCCATGCTTACAGACTGCTGTTGCGTAGGAATTTGCCACTACATCGATCAAGTCACAGACTTGAAGTCAGGACCAGCCAATCTTCATCTTTCTACGGCTGATCCTTTACAAAAGCAAGTCGAAACTTCAATTTTTGCGCTCGCGGATCAGAGAAGGCAACCTGTATGATACAGGCTGTATCGTGCTTTACTTCGAAGTAGTAAAAGCGAGGTGCATCCTATTATGCGCAACGTTGGTACTTTCAATAGCAAGAAAACAATTTTTGTCTAATTTCGGTTCAAATAACTGCAACAATTGGTAATTGGCACATCCTATGCACTTGCACCAACTTTGTCCAGAACTCTCTGCAAAACCGGATAGAGGCTCCGCTACGTTGGCCCACATCAGGTTTGGTCTTCGTTTGTTGGTGGTGAGTTTGGTCTCGAAGTTCGGAACTCTGAACCTGATCGGAAGGAAGCCTCCTCACGACCAGCTTGATTGGCGTTCGAACAGCGTGAAGTCGGTGCGCCATCTCACTTCCCCACTTTCCATCCATCGACAATGCGGCTGTGTCACGTACTAATCGCAGCGGAGGTTACACTGCTCGCCGGTAGCAATGGCGTAGCTGGTACTGTGGATTGCCCCGAAACTCCAGGGTCGCCTTCCTCTTCGTGGTTCCCGTCGTTCTCGTTTAATGATTGGAACACGGGGGTATCGCAGAACAACGAAACTCCTGGATTAGCGTACGGTTCGTGGCCCTCGTGGTTCTCTTTCAATGGCTGGAACACGGGATCACAACACACCAACGGAGCTCCTGGAACGGGGTGGTTCCCGTGGTTTTCTTTTGATAACTTCTCTCCTGGCTCTCCTGGTGTTGACACCAGTGGCTCTAGCACTGAACAGCAGACACCGCAGATACCGGCTGCCCAACCGACCGGCGCACCGGAACTGCCAGCCGCATCAACGACTGACGCCCCGGAGATTCCTGCTGATCCGACGACTGATATTTCCGAGACGCCTGTTGCTCAGACGACCGATGTTCCTGAGACTCCAGCCGTGTACCCAACCAGTGCACCGGAGACACCGGACGTGCCGCTGACCAATGCGCCGGAGACGCCGGCTGTGCAGCCTACAAGAGCTCCAGCGACACCACAGACACCCCAAGCACCTGCGACGACAGATTCGCCGGAGGTCGCCGACACTCCGCCGCCCGATACCGATGCCTCGGCTCCTGCTACACCTTCGGCTGCCTCAAACTCCAGTACCACGTCGTCGGACAACTCCAAGCTCTGCGCCAAGCCACGGGTACAGATCACGAAGGTCGACGTCGGCGTGGCCGTCGACGCCAACGAAGACGAGGTGAACTTGAAGGTCGTGGCAATCTCCGCGCTGCCGTCGGGTGGCTCTCGTATCGCTTTTCACAGTGGTGAAAGCGTCATCGTACAGGAGCTCGACGCCAACGACAAGCTCGTGAGCGGCAGCACCGTCAAGGTCCCGCTCCACGACTTTGCCGACATCTACGCTGACAAGGACGGCTTCGTGAT